ATTTGTGGCCACAAAATCACACATGAGCTGACGCATTGTTTGTTTACTACCAAGACAACGCGTGTGTGTTCGACAGGGATGTCTAATTTAGTGAACAGAGCATGCATAAGCTGTGAACAACAGGTAATAAAGTTCTAAAATAACATTCAGTTTGGGAACTGGGAATAACGTTCAAGAGGGAATCTGAAGATGACAATGTTTAATTTTGAAATAAAATAGTCTAATTATGCTGTCAACGACAAATGGCAAGCATATGTCTCAAACATTATTATTCAACTTCAGAATTGTGAAGAGTTGTATTTTGATGCTATCACTTTACTGTGAATTAGTAACCAAGACACAGTCTATACAAAATTTAGTGTTTTAACCAACAGTAGACCTACACATAGGCCTAAAATTATTATTGTTGTTTTACCATATGTTTGAGAAATCAGAATATTACTATAACTTTTATTTTACATCTACAGAATCGAGAGAAGATTGTGATTTGGATTTTAAGCAAAACAAAAAATAGTGATACTCATTGTATTCTACCGAGAAGCTACCAAACATTAACATTTGATGGTGTCGTATCTAATACTGACTAATTGAACCTGTTTAATCTGCTGCCCACAACATGGATGTGATAAATGTGGAGTATATGCTTTAGATGTTATTGTTAACTATTCCTCAATCAAATTGAATCAAACCGTTAGGCTCAATTAAGTGATTCATAGGTTTCAAAGGTAACAGTCGGTGGAGCTACCACTTGAGCAAAAAGAGCATCAACAATCTTTACAAATGTGCAAAAAAGTTTTTAACTTCAGGACATATATCCCAAACGCTGCCTCCTCCTTTTGTTCATCTGAAAGCAGACAGGCTGTAGGGGCGAGAGCAGGAGAGTGATGGGTGCTTTTTGAAGGAAAAGACAAGCGCTGATATGTCCTCCCACCGTTCAAAGGCAGCGAGAAAGGGAGAAGATAGCACATGCAAATTTAATGAAGTCATGTTTATTTCTCGGCGAGCTGTAGCGTGTGTATGTGCGCACGTGCACACTCTCCACCCACGCTTCCCTGCGGCGGCGCTCGGATAAGGGGGCTTTGTAACTATCATAGTTCAACTCCAAACCCCTGTGCTTCTCTTTCTCTGGGAGACACAGGGTAGATCATACACTGTATACACAACCAGTTTTCAATTATTAAGTAGCACAGAAATAAAAGACTCGAGTTCACCGCTGTGCCAATGGGGGCTTTTTTCCCCCCACAGAGAAAATGTCAGTGCTGGAGGTTGTCAACGGTGGCAATGCCAGAAAACACCCAAGGGGACTGAATATGAACTAGGCATGAATCCCAAATGTGTACCATAAGCTATTCTTTCGTATGAGGATGCACCAATATTATATTAAATGGTTATTAAATGAGTGCTTTTACAGCTAGACTTCAAGAGCATGCAAGATGACATCCCTTTAATACACTTCAGTAATCTAATTTAAAAAAAGGAAACGAGTATGAACAACTTAGTATGTTAATATATGACATCAATCAAAATGGAAAATATGCACACTAAATAAAGTACATACACACAAGACCATAGCATTAAATACCAAAGTCTATTTTTGTTGATCCAGTTGTACCAGCTGAACAACATGGAATTTGCAGAGAGTTCAATTAACCTACCAATATACTACTGAAACCAATTGCTATCATATCAGAGACGGAATTTTTGAAGCACCTGGAAATATTGTACCACTGGCTCAGGATAATACATTTCAGATAATAAGCAGCAGACATTCCAAAGGTAGAAAACGCAACCATCCAGATTATTTTATAGCGCTCACCTGGTCAAATGCATTCATTTATGCTCAAATAGCTCTTGCTATTTAATCCTTTATAGTATTTTTAATAATATTCGGATTGCTGCATTGGCAGTGGTGTTCATTACAGCAATGCTTATAGACTTAACAGGTGATTTATTTTCAATCATACATATTCAAATGTTAATCTGGCCTACAACATTGATGATTCAGGGACTATTTATAGGCCTTTTGTTTGTTAACTCAGACTTTTTAAAATTTTCATCAAACATCTGTTTACTCTGAACATGTATAGATAATGATACACAAAGCATTTTTTGTTATTATTATTCATAATAAAGTAGGCTTTTTTGCAACTTCAGTCAATATCATGATAATCTGCTTGTTATGTAATACTGTTTGGAATGGAATTTGTTTTTTTTTTCTTTCAGCACCACTTGTCCTCTTCTCCTGTGGGATTTAATGTTTTTGGAATATTTTCATTTATTTTTATGTTTTCTATATAATTCTTCTTTAGTTTAGTTTAGTTTAGTTTAGTTTGACTTTATTAATCCCCGGAGGGAAATTCACATGTCACAGCAGAGCTCTCCATACTAAAAATAGATAAATAAGTTACATACATATAAAAACAATAATAAAATGACATTTCATACTGTACACCTTGGTTCCAAAAACAACGAGTAAACACTTGTACATATCCAATATCTAATTCAAGTTCAGCACAATTCATCTGGTATGACTTTGGTTATACAATCTGATCACTGTTGGTAAAAAAAGACTTCCTGTATCTTTCTCTGTAGCACCGGGGTTGAATTAATCTTGTACTAAAAGAGCTTGCACACGCTTGGACTGTATCATAAAGGGGATGACTATCGTGGTTCATTATACTAACAAATTTGTCCAGCATTCGATCCTGTGCAATCTCTTCTATGGTAGGTAGTGCACCCCCCACAACAGAACCTGCCCTTTTTATGAGCTTATTTAATTTGTTTTTCTCCTTCTCCAACAGTCCCCCTCCTAAGCAGGTTACAGCATACAGAATCACAGAAGACACCACAGAGTCATAAAAAGTTTTTAACAGTGTCTGACACACACCAAAGGACCTCAGTCGTCTTAATAAATGAATGCGGCTCTGACCCTTCTTATACACCTGGATTGTGTTTTCAGACCAATCGAGCTTGTTGTTCAAATATACACCCAGGTACCTATATGACGAAACGATCTCAATTTCTGACTCTTGTATAATTACGGGCACCGCTTGTGATGGATGTCTACTAAAATCAACAATCATTTCTTTGGTCTTACTAGTGTTTAAATTAAGACAATTCATATCACACCAGTCAGCAAAACTTTTTAAAAGCAACCTATACTCACTCTCATCATGATTCCTTATATAACCTACAATTGCAGAGTCATCAGAAAACTTCTGTAAATGACAATTTTTGGAGCTGTATTGAAAATCAGATGTATAAAATGTAAATAAATATGGAGCTAAAACCGTTCCTTGAGGAACACCAGTACTGCTCATTATAACTTGTGACACAGTTAAGCATCCTAACATACTGTGGTCTATTAGTGATATAGTCAGTTAACCAACTTACCATACCTTTTTGTAAACCTGCATTTTCTAATTTTACCTTTAATAGTGCAGGCTGGATAGTGTTAAATGCACTTGAGAAATCAAAAAATGTGATCCTAACAGTATTACCCTTACAGAATTTACTATTACTATTTTCTGTTTATGTTAGATTTTGTATAATGAATGATTCTTTTATTTATTTTTATTTTTTTGCTGCATGGTTCTTTTCATCTAGTATTACACAAAATGGTCACAGTATAAAGGTTACATATTTCAGTCCCTAGATTAACAACGAGAAGTCATAACAGTATGGAATATGGTTTCCGGGTCTAAGCCACTACTCATTTGAATTGAGAAAATATTAATTTATGAACACTTTCTGATCATATCATACATTAAAGTGAACTATATAAAATCATGGTGCATGGGATGCAGTAAGGACAGAGACTGTTGTGTACAACAATATTTTAACAATTTATTGAAAATGTATTAATTTCTGGCCATTGGATACTAGGCATATATTGAGGCCCGTTGAGGGGTGTCAGGGGTGGAGTGAGCGACGTATCTGAGTAGGGGCAAGAGGGGTGTGCAATGTATTTAATGACCGGTTTGCAAGAAATTATCATTCATTTGCGGGCATTTGGGAGTCTCTGTGCACTAGGGATACTCCCTAGTCTTAGCAACTGGATGAATGTAAAGGAGGATTAAGCAAAATTGTTTCTACTCTATAACTAATGTTTTTAACTCACAGCAATAAAACTTTACAATGAGTGCAACAGTTTGTATTCTATAGTTTATTATTATAATTTTTCATTTTCCTTATCTGCAATTCCTGTATTTTGGCATTTTTTTGCAGTCCACTTAGAATCCAACATGTAAATCAATGTTTTCTTTATTGGCATTGATTGTTTTGAAATTTAAATGTCATTGACATGCCTGTGTTTTAATTTCTGTAATAAATATGGCTGTCAAGCAGGATCTTGATGGTTTATTGTGGGTATGTTGTTTGCATTAAGAAATCTGTGTTACAAGTTAAACAAAAATTCTATTAAACAATTATATTTTGAATTTAAATAGTTTGTGTCTTGCGTTTACATTAATTCTACATTTAAATAGCCAAAACTACAAGTTTCAGTATTTTAAATGCGATTAATCTCGATAATTTTTTTAAAAAAGGTGCGATTAATTAGTTAATTTTTTTAATCGATTGACCGCACTAATATATATATATATATATATATATATATATATATATATATATATATATATATATATATATATATATATATATATAGCAAATGTGATTTTTCAAAGTATTACATCACTTTGTAAACAGTTATTATTACTATTTGTTAAGTCTCCACCATACAGTTTGATAGCGCGCTTGGACACTGAAGCCACTTTGCGTGATGTCACACTTAACAAGCGGATACTGTTTATCATCATAAAAGTGCCAATAATCACCAAATAATCACAACAAGGAAAACTGGTAGAAGCCTAGTCTTGATAATCTAAACAAGAGATGCATATGAACCCATGGTAATATAAGGTGGACACAGTAATATGATCAGCAAAGCACTGCCGATCAGACCATTGAAATGTTAATATCAGTTGGAAGCGTGGCCTTACCTTACACCCTTCACATGCGCTGACTCCATAGTGGTAGCCCGAGGACTTGTCCTGGCAGACAAAACAGGGCTTGTAGACCCGTGGTGGAGGTGGCGGTGAAGGAGGGCTGGGTACGATCTCCTCTGAGCTTGTGCTCTGGGTCTCCACAGCTACAAGAAAACAGAAACGGACATTAGATTACCTCATTAATGTGCTATAATTCTCCCACACAGATGCATCCGAGAAAACAGCATGTTGTCATTTAGCAAGTCCACAAAGACCTTCAACATTCAAAAGAGTCCTGCACTCCACAGGATGGCTCAGCCAGGGGAAAATGTGCATCCTGATCAGCGGCGAAGGTCACGCCTGTCAGGAGAACGTCTCCATTCCTGGAGCGAGCAGTCAGAGAGGCTGGTGTCACGCTCTCCTTACACTCTCACTTTGCTTTCTTCCCCGTTTCAGCTGCTACCGACTGGGACGAGTGCCAGCCTTAATTAATAAAGTCATGACAGTCAGCTGGGGCGTGGAGGGAGAAACCACATGCTGTGCTGGAGTGGAGTGGCCGCCCGAGCAGCACAGCACTATCAAGAGCTGCCATGATCCAGAGCTTATGAAACCACCACGCGACTTAAATAGCAGACCATGAGGGGAAACCCACAACTCAGAGAACACACTGCCCTCTCCACGGGTCAAGAGTACAAAACAGCAAAGAAATGCGTTTAGAAATAGCCAAAATTCTCCACATAGCTGCATGAATATGCCCACATGTAAAAAATTGTCTGCGATACGCCAATGATGGCACCAGTATAGTTTTAAAAACATTTTGATGGACGTTTTCACTTTGCAACCCGTATGTTTCTCTTCTCTGCCACCATCTTCTCTCTCATCCTGCCGTGTTCTACAAATGCCATGTAGGTAAATGACAGATGAAGAGAAAAGTTCTCAGTGAAGGAAAACATGCTACTATGTGGGTGCAGTGACTGGGTCTGTCAGCAATTGAGCTATGAAGAGATTCAGGTGTAGTTTTAATAATCCATGACAGATGTCAAAAAGAGTCAAACTGTAGACCTCAAGTTCAGCTCACACTGTGTGATTTTTAATAATCCTAACTGACTGTAGCCTGTCAGACCACACAAACATGGTTCCCATGTCACACTGTAAGATCTCAAAGTCAGACTGAACAATCAAGATGCGCCAAACACAAACATGCAAGAAAACTGAGGTCATCCATCTGTGACACATTTACTAACCCATGATCTGAAATGATCAAACAAACATTCTGTAATTTTGCTCAAAGTGTGCCTCAATAATGGTTTGAAGATTGTTGATTGCATCATCAGATACAGGACTCCTATTAGTTCTTGGTTTGACAGTCATCCTAGCTCAAGTCATACTACAGAATAACGTTTGAAAACTTCTGGCTCTGCCAGAACTTCATCAGAGGGGAAACCTGATCACAAGGGTCATTAAGTAGCTGTCAGTAATCATGTCAAACTAACAATCACAAATCTTAACCTAGGATTTCAGGAGTCTTAAGATTTCCCAAATTTGTCTCAGAGGACCAAATTGTGGCTAAAAATTGCAAAGTGTGAGCAGGGCTTCATATTTAAGCATTAGCTGATGAATGTTGATGAATGGAACATTAGTCAGCTTCAGGCTGGTTCTCCACATCAGCTCTAGTTGGGCTCTTGCTGTGGTAGTTCTCCTGATTCAGCACGTTGAACTGAAGTTGGGATTTTCATAGAGTCATCACTCAAACTTAAGTTTAGCGGGCACATAGCAAGTACAAAAAGGAAAGTAAGAAATTTGAGTAAAGACATCAAGACAACACTGACATAACCAGGGAGTTTTCTGTGAAACAGGATGTACCGTCAGGACATTTTTATGGTCCAATATTTTTTGTCCTAAAGAACCAAGAAGCCTTTAATCACCCTAAAATTGCAAATCCTGAGGCCACTTGGTAGCTGGTTGCAGAACTAAGGATTCTAGAGCATATATGATTAGATTAAAACAAACAAACGAAAGAATGTTCCTCATCTTATTGCAATCGTTCCATATATGGAAGAAAAAAAAACTGTAAATGAGCAATTCCAGCGTTACTGATGTGAAATTTGCTGTAAAGCTTCAAAAAGAAAGTATTTGTTAACATTATATTAAAGCACCTGTTTTTCCAAAACAACTAATCACAGAGTTATGGGATCAGAAAAATATCAGTCAATAAACATGTTTTATATTTTAAATGAGGAAAATAAACATCTGTTATGGATGTGACCAAAAAAGTCTGCAAGTTTACAGTATACAACATACTTTTTAGAAAATCTGTGAATTAAGCTGCACAACCCAAAAGAAATGATGCTACTCAAAAGGATGAGATCGGCTCACTATAGAACAAAAATGATTGATTTAATTTTATTTAACATTTTTGCATTTATTAGGAAAAAAACTTGGTTATGGATGTGACATCTCTTCATTATGGATGTGGTGTGAAATCTGCACTTGTGTGTCTTTGGTGGATCAAATATAATTGTTTGAAAACATTGACAGAGACATTTTGAGTACTTTTACAGCACTTTAAAAAACAGGCCTGGACAAAAAAAAAAAAAACAAGAGTTTCAATATTTTGGTGAAAACTTCAGTATTTTATGGCAAGGTTGGCATTTGCATGGAATCGCTCAAATATTTGTATTTGCCAAAATTACACAGTAATATTTTACTTATTTACTTATTTTTTTAATTATCTTTGCTAATCAAGGCTACACACTTTTAACACACAATTTCCAAAAAAAATATCTGTCATCTGTTAATCTGTTAATGATAAACATGTCAGTTTTTTGGAAAAACAGATTTTCTTTTGTGGGATTTGTTAATCAATATAAAGAAATTTAACTGCATTCATATGAAAGTCTTTCATAACAATGTTAAGGTTTTCATTGACACTTTTGTTTAATTGAATTATCCAAATTCAATAATATTTGTGATGGGGTATTGAAACCTTGATCTGATAAATCGGTTTGTGATGGCTGTGGGGTCTGTGACAGGCAGTGAGGTCTGCTTTACACTCATCTAAGTAAGTCAGATATCTAATCAACCTTAAACAGAAACAGAGTCTGTGCCAACCTTCAGCACAGCCAAAACCTCACAAACGCAAACATCAAGACCACCAAACAAATGCCTGAATGATGAGACAACTTTCTCTTTAATCATTAGAAAACTGGTGACATTCATTTAACAGTGCATTTAAACAGATCTTGCACACCTTCGTCTACTGCGAGAGGTATGACAGAAAATGAGGCCTCATCTCCACCTCGCAACACCCACACTGTTGCTGAGCCGGTGGGCAACCGAATGAGTCTATTTCCTGTGTTCAGAAAAAGCACAGTCAAAAAGCTAAAAATACACGCACTGGCACCGGCACAGAGTCAGATGAGGATGTCGAGTTCTTATCTCTTTCCACACACAACCAGCAAACGTCCCCACAAACACGCATCCCCAGCACATGATCGAACGCAAAGCGACTTGTGTTGAGAGAGCTGAAGTGTTTTATTTAGCATAGGTTGAAAAACAAGATAAAAATACAATAATGATGTGAAACTGTGAAATAAAAAACAGAATCAATCAGGCAGTAATCATTTGGGTTAGTTGAGTTTCCCAGCCTTACAGAATTCACCTGACCATTGCATTTCATCAAATTCCTAGAAACAGCCATAAAACTATAGAAATTAGCATTTTTTCCAAACCACAAGAATTTGCTAATAATACTAGGTTTATCATGAAGGCCGGAACGAACCCTTGATTTTCTTTGCCAATATTAGACCCTGTTTACATGTTTTAGTTTTAAAACTCATAACTTTTGTAACGGTTACGCCTTCTGTCCACATTACACCAGAGTTTTTGAGCCCCGAAAACAGAAATTTTTGGAGACGCTGAAGAGACCATTTTGGTTTTAAAATGCTGCTGCTCCATACCAGTGTGGATGAGGGTAAAAGAAGACATCTGAAAAGACATCTGCAGACATTCGGATCTGATTGGGGCTTTTTCTCAATATTTAGTGCACAAATTTAAGTCTTGCACACTTTCCTGATGTTTAGAATTTGCTAGTTTGATATGGAAAACAAACTGCTGAAGACACGTCGAGTAAATCTTCAAAGGAAAAAAGAGTACTTACATCATCATTCGCATCACCCTGCCTACATTGTTTCACCACATTAAAAATAAAATAAAAACATGATATAAGGAACTGCCTCTTTTCATTTTGATACTAACAATTTAACAGACACCAAAACTGTTGAGGCATTGTGTAGCTACATATTTATATGACTGTCAACTTCACTTTACTGTATGCATATTTATAACAAAACGAAGCTTATAACATAACTGCCTCCTTTCATTTTCAATAAAATTAATGAAAGGAATGTCTCTTGCTGAATTTCAGTTTGTTTTAATAATCAATACTGGAAATCAACATGATAACTTTATACAATATAGCAAAATAAAGTCAAGCGATCAGTCAAATGTGCAGAATCAGTGTACATGGTTACATAATTTAATATTTTGTGCTCAGCCAAAACACGTTACCTGAGAACATGTAATAGACTCAAAAGACCTAAAAGTCATTAGATAGAGACAAGATGAATTAAATATCACATTTAAAAACTATAGTGAGATGAGATCCAGTGGTATATGCTTGATGAACTGTCGACATGCGCTGCTCTCACCTGAGGAGGTGTGCTCCCGCTGCACCAGCTGACTGCCTGGGGCTAAGACCTCCGCATACGCTGCAGCGCATGACAGTGTGTGTGTGTGTGTGTGGTCACGTGGTGCGTGTTTTCAGCAGTATAGTGTGGACGGAGATCTGTTTAGAAATGCTAGATATAACGCTAGCTTGGACTTGAATCGTTTTTGTTCTGAAGCCGTTTTAAAACTATTCAATTAAAATGTATTAATGTAAATAAGGCGTTAAAGACAGCAGCAAAGGCAAGACTTAAAGGACAAATGTAAGATCACATAATTTAAAAGTATTAAATAATAAAATACAATTTAAAGTGAATTACTTTAATTAATTCAACATTTTTTAATGAATAAGTAAAATATAATTAAAGTGGATACTAAAAAGGCTAAATAGGTGTACATATATTAGTCAACCATTAACGGAAACCTTAGAAACAAAGTG